CAACAAGACATCTCAATAGATTACAATACCAACACGATTTTTAATACATTTTCACTTCCCATTTCCGTCGCTTAATGGTTTTTTAGGAAACGTTTAAACATAAATGTTCACATAGCATTTTTAACTATGAATAAATTATTTCAATAACATACTCATTTTATTAAAAATCCTAGAGGTTTCCTTTATGCGTGTTAATTGCAGCAATATGTTTATTATTATTTTTTCAACGATAGTTTTATTAAAATATTTTTCTTTTTTATTCAAAAATAATAGCTTGTTTTCAATAGAATGCGAGTTAAGTATTGAATATAAATATTTCATAATAGTTTTCATTATGAACTCTTTAAATATATGTTAGTTTAATCAACATAGTTTCATTATCGAAATTCTAGTTAAACGTTAAAAATAAACAATATTACTAGTGGCAAGTCTTCAGTATTCAGCTTCTATGAAGAGAAATTTTACCCAAATTATACTGAAAACGTTCACAATTAATATAACAGGCTTTATTGACATTCGTTTGAAATCAATTGTTCATTTCACTTGGGTTTTTTTGCTAAATTTAGTTATCTTAATTGAAATCAGTTGTTAATTAATTCGATATACATTCAAATAATGAAATTAATGTTTTTCAATCATGACTAGCCAATAAATCTTTAGTATTGTTAGACGTACGTTTGCTATTTCGCAAATTGAACAACAGTCAATCAGACCTTCAAAATAACAAACGAAATTAGCCTGTGTGACTCTTTCAGTCAAATTATTATTTATCATTATTTAGTTAGAGACTTGAAACAAAATCATAACAAAATAACAGTATAATAAAGATTATAATAAAAATAATAACCAAAAAAATTAACGAATCAGACAGCTTCCCACATAAAAATCGAGCGAAGTATTGTTCGTGACTTTTGAAAATCACGTACCTATATAAACATAGATACACAATCAGCATCCAAGCCCATTTCGTGTCATTAAACTCTCAACGTTATTTTACTAGAGAATTAGTGCACTCTTCTTCTATTAATGTTATACTACATTTAATTTCACTAAAGTATACAAACCTAAAATTGTTTGACTTCGGTTCATGCTGTTTATAAATGGTTTTTAAAATCCATTGGTTCCGTCTAAAGTTACGACTCATGTGATATAATAAATAATTATGGTATACTATTAAGACAAAAAAACAACATAACTTCTGTAACTCATTGCTAAACATTGTTTTAGAATTATTCAAATTGATACTACTTAAATTCTTCACTTAACTCAAAAAAATTTCATGTACAAAATGAATCGATTTTTTTTTTCTTACTAATTTATATTTTTTAATAATATTATTTGCATTAATGTTGAACCAGTTTACTATTGTAATGACATTTAAAATAATTTTTATTATATCTATACTATAAAACAATTCTACACTTATCAGCTTAGATGTCAAAAAGTAAAAGCTATTTATAACTATAGTTTAAGTATTTATAAATCAAATAGCATATTTCAATACGTGCGAGATATACAATTTCATGTTGTGTTAAATAAATTCAAAATTCTGTTAAAGCATAAGTAAATATTTATTAAGTTTTGAATAAATGCATGCTGTTAAGTATAAGCCAAAGAGTAATTTGAATAATACAAAAATAAATAAAAAGATATTAATACAATTAAGGATCATATTGTTATTTAAAAGCATTGTATGTTAATCAAAAAAGTCAAGGCCAATTATTGTAATAAGCATCTCTATTATGTCACACTTGGTTTCTCTTTATAAATGTTAATTTTTTGGATTAATTTAAGTCTGTTGTCATAATGTAGGTATTCATGAAGTTGACAGTGTTACACGAGCTTTTCAATGACTATAAGTGTTAGTTGTAATTTACTACATGAGATGCGTTATATTATGCTCATCGAGATTATAAACATCGTCTCAGGGTCTTCTTAACATGAGCCAAGACACGACAACTAATGAGTTAAACAAATTAATATATATGATGTTTTTGTTATTGTGTAATTTTTGACTAATGTAATTAGAAATTTTGACATCAAAAATCATGTTTATTGTGACAAAATAATTTATGGACTTGAATTTCAAAAATATTGTTTTAATAAAAATTCCTAGGGTATGCAAAAGTATTGAAATTAAAAATTACTATAGTATTTTAATAAAACATATATAAATAAAACTTAAAAGAACTTGAACATTCGTATGATAACTGAAGTAAAAGTTGTTTACTTTAATAGCGCCGCATAAAAGTTTTTTTCAATTTGACAGATGTTCAAGTTTGTTTGATAATAATTTAATCGTTGTGCACCCAATATATTTATTTATTTATTGAAATTGAGCAATAGTTTAATGTAGCGCATTTATCAATTTAAAAACTTCGTGAGTTCTTTATTACGTTTCACTATGATCTAATTTATATTTATAGACGGATAATTTCTTTAGGTCTATGTCACAATTTGTAAATAAAGTAAAGGTTGAAGGACAAAGTTATAGATTAAAAATAGAAAATTTCATTAAATGAACACTTATTATATTTATAAGATATACAATAAACTGTAATTCTAAGAAGTACAATAAATAGAGCATAAATAAGTTAACCTACCCTGTTTATAACACAAAAGAAATTATGTATTAAAATAGATCCTATAATTTCATAAGTGTTATTTTCATATTAATATTGACTTTTAATTCACAAAACTATTTAGTTATGTAATATGATGTCTTTTCGAATTATTCAGATTCGTTGATCAAATTAATTTTTAAAATTGCTTTGAATTACAATATTCAATGAATTTAGTTAATCTAATCCTCTAATATTGTTACAATACCGCGAAAAGTTACACAATCTATTTTCCAGAACTAATTTTGCTGGATTAATAACCGGATACGTGCGGTCGAACTGCAGACGGATTAGATGACATTAATTTATTTCCATTGTAATGTAAAGATATTTGTCTATATACAGCTGCTATAATATTACAATTATTATTACTTTCTAGTTCAGTCATATTCTAATAAGATTATTGATCGATTTAAATATTGATAAATGAAATAAAAAATACATTATTATAAAACGAATAATTTATCTACTTTAATATGACAGTAAGAGACCATTAACTATACATTTTGGTATGATCATCCTAATGGATACTGGTGATATTACTTTGTTTATTTAAAATTTACGTAACATATATTTGAGTCTTAGAAAAAATTCATTACGACTATCAAAAATAAATACATAAAAAAACTTGGTATCGTTTTAATAGCATGACGGAAATTTTATCAACGTTAGATGATCAATAGTGATATCATAAATAAATTACATTAGAATAGTAATTCATTAAAGAAACAGTCATGCAGTTTGTCACAAAGCCGTTGTATTAAAACCTACAACTAGTAGAACTCAATCTATATAAATAAAAAATTACATTATTTAATATTTTTATAGCCGACACTTTATTGCTGAATAAACCTTTCACTCTCAACACACATCAATGTTTACATGTTCACAAAATCATAATGATACGGCCAGATTGATCATTTAAATCAATAAAGAATCTTCAAAAAGTAAAAATTAAAGAGCGTACTAGATTTGCTTGTAACTTTTATACGCCATGTAACAATTTTTAAATGCCCTCCGGTATTTCCTTAAAAAATAACATAGTTTTTAAAATCGTAGTGGAAGAATGAAATGGAAAGATAAAATAAATAAATTGAAAATTAATTACTAACATAAAATCTAAAGTAAAATAACATTGAACATTAAGTAAAACTAAATAATTCAAATTAATTTAAAGCGTTAAATAAACTTCTTAACAAATTAATGACTTGCATGCATTACACTATTAATATAAATACTGCAATTTCGACATTAAAATAATAATTTAATTAGGTATTATGTACTATAATGATTAAAACTGTTTTTAATCAAACAATTTTTTAATTAGAATATTAAATGGAAATAATTTAAACATCATGTACCACATTATTATAAAACGATATCATGAAAAGTATTATTAATCATTAAATTATAAATAATAATTTTACTATAATATGATTCATTATATTGAAATTTGTCCGACCCCAAGAGTTGGTATAAAAGCGAGGATAAAAAATATAATATAAAATATGATATCAAAATATTTATAAATGCTAAATCTAAACATGTTTCATAATATTAATTTTTACCCGTTTTCCATCACTGGCCTAGCCCCAAAAACCTTCTTTTCCCTCTGCAGCATGTTATGCTCGGGAAATATTACAGCACTCAAATTTAATAGAAACACGATGTTTTTTTAATCGAGATTCAAACATTAGTTTTTAGATCAGATATGTATGTAATTATAACACTCAATACAATATTCGATTTTAATCAACAATCATAATGTACATCACATGTGTACAATATAGTAACACATAAAACCAACAAATTTGGTACATAATGCAAATCACCATCAATTTTGGATCTATTTTTTAAAACGCTAGGATACAAACTATAAATTGAGACCTTTCTTTAGAGAAATACATAGATGAAAACATAACAATTAAATAAATTTAAACCCCATAAAATCTAAAAATTTTAAGGTTCTGCTCCATCTTCTTTTACGATAAATTTAATACTGCTTGTAGCAATAATTATTATTTGACATATATTTTAAATACCAAATCAATAAATTTATTGATTTATAAAAACATATGCAATAAGTTTATTCATTAGTAGAACAAATTATTTTGTTTTATATAAATACTTTCAATGAAAATATTTCACCCTTACATTTAAAAAAAGGTAAATAACTTTCATCGCTGTAAATTACTTTACAAATCACTTAAATAAATAAAAAAATTTATGAAACCTTAAATATGAAATATAATTCTTATTTTATTCAATAACATACATCTTCAATAGTAAAAAATAAAAAGAGTACTAGATTTTCATATAACTTTTATACACCATTTAACTATAGTATAGTAATTTAATAATTAGATATATGATACTCACGTTGAAATAGTTCGACAATCCACGAATAAGGCTTAACTAGAGAATTATCTCAATCATACACAAACGATTTCCGATTTCGTATTTTCAAAAACCATATAATTAACAAAATTCATAATTGACGATCGAGTTGAAATTTATAAATGTAATAATGTTACCATATTCTATCGACCGCACAGGTAAAAATGAAACGACGAACTGACGCGAGTCGACGGTGTTCGCATGTGGTAACGGGCATCAGGTTAGACCATGAGAACTAATGTAAACCCCACTAAATGTAAACAGATTAGTCTCATTCTGGAAATAATTTATTCCACGTTTATCTCATTTTTGTCAACAATTAATTTAATAATATTTATTATTCATTTATCTTATTTAAATTCGTTGATCTTAGATTCTATTATTTCCATTTATTTTATTGCATTTCCGAGAGAATTTTCAAGGGGATCAAGTTATGATAAAATTATGTTACATAGGTGATTTACTTGACTTCAGATTTCATTTTCATTTATCATATGATGAGTTAATTAATGTAAATTAATAAGAAAATAATAAGTTATTTTGAAACGAATTTAATTAGATGTAATGTTAATTTGTTTAAAATTTTTGTTGAGGTCTTGGTAGTAACCTCAACAAATAATTCTGTAATTTAATTAAAAATGTTGTAATGTAATATTAATTTATTTAAATCACATCATATAAAATGTATGCTTGCTAAGTAAAACTCTAATGAATACATTTTTAATAAATGTCTTCAAAAATCTTCATGGCATTTTATCTAGTTGACATTTAAATAAAATCTTATTGAACTATATCTAGATATTTACTTATACTGATATAAAAAATTAGACACACGTTTTAAAGCATATTATTACTAATAAGAATGATTAAGTAAGTCTGTCGATGGACTTTTCTTTTTTCTTTCAGATTAAAAAATTAAATATCAATATTTTTTGTTTAATTTTCAAAAATTAAATAGTTATTTAGATACAATTAAATATATATTAAGACGACAATGAAGGGGTTCTACTTGAGTGACGCTACTCTCAAACTAATAAAATTACATTTCTTAAACAATCTATATGTTGTATAGCTAGTCTATGCTCTTAAACGATGCATCAAATTAATTCTGGAAATTGTTCCATTTGGTCGCATTATGAGAAAGTTTTCAAAATAACAGTTGCTTGAGTGGTTCGACATTTAAAATGTTAATAATGCAATAACTCTTTTTTCAATTATTAATTAAAAGCTTAAGGTTATAATCATACTATCACATACTACAATGAGTACAATATGCAAACATGGAGATTTTTAAAGTTAAAAAATTATTTTAATGACACATTTCTAATTCTTAGAAAAATTATTTTATAGAATATATATATATATATACAAGTGAATACAAGTGAATTATTGTTGTGTTACATAACTACCATTCAATGTGCAATTTTTAGATTTAATTGTTTGAGTAAAACAATAAAATTATGTCCTTATTTGTAGGAGCCTGTAATTATCACACATTAACCCTTTTTACTCGTTACAAACACAGTTGACTCATATCTCGAATCACAAATAAAAGATAATTCTACTTTTTATATGTGACTCAAATTCTGACTATGAAATAATTAATGTTGACATAGTAGTTTAAAAATTATTTGGACCTTTTCCGTTAATTCACTACCACTTGTTTTTTCAAAACCGTTTCATGTTTATATTTACATAATCTCGAATTATACAAAATGCCACGAGTTTGTAATAAACTTACTGCATTATTCTTCCTGTAGCATTCGCTGCTAGAGAAAAGAAATTCATGATAATCTACTCAAATCCAATCATTGACTGACCGCCGAATGCGTACGAAAACCTACAAACGTTCTTTCAAAGCGATAAGATAAGCTTTTGCACGTACACGTAATACGCATATCAAATACTTAGGGCTAATAAACCAATAAATTTTGATATGATATTTTATTATTTATTTTATTTTTTTATAGATCTTAAACGCTGAAAAATCATTAAAATTATAATGTATATGCAAACCTGTTTTTAAAGATTCATATATTTGAAATAAATTGTATTTTTAAATGTGAAAACTAAAAAGTTTTTTGTAGAGAAAGAAACTTAAAATTCAGGAACTGATACCAGTTTTCTGATAACCGGTTAAAAAAGATTTTTTCAGTTTTTCTAACCAAAATCGCCTACAATCCAAAAACAAAATTCTAAAACCGAAACTGTATTCAAATTGAACAGTGTCAATATCTGCTTAATGATACTTTTTGTATAACACTATATATATATATATATATATATATATTTATATTTACTAGTTATAAAAAATAAGCCGAATAAACCATCGTTAATTATAAACCTTACTTTAGATATTGAACAAAATCAAAAACTTATAATAAATTAACTATATATATTTTTTTTTGCAGTCAGCATGTTTGCAATTTGTATTTTATTATTATTTAAAATTTATTTTTCCAGATCAATCCAGAATTTACAATTAATATTTACTGTAAAAAAGTTTTACTATGGCGTTACTCAATTATTATGTCCAAAAAAAAATGTTCAACATTTAATAAAATTCAGTTCAATAATCTTCAGAATATGAAGCCTAATGTAAAAAAATTCCCGTATCAATAATTTTTAAAATAACTTTGTCAAGAACTAATAATGTCAAAACGAGATAAAAAATTTCCCTCGTTCTCCGTAAATGGGGGAAATTTACAAAAAAATTACAAATGTAATAATGGCTAATTTTCGACATTTTTTTCAATTTTTTTATAAATCAGACTCTTTACCTGTCCACAGGGAGGGATTTAAAATGACAACTTTTTCACAAAAAATTACCTTTTTCAACTTAACTTTTGAAAGTGTTCCAGAAAGTTTGACACTTTTATATATATCTTAAATTAAAGTTAATGTAATGTACTATAAAATTAAAAAAATTGTCCCGACGACTTATCTTCTTTGTGAAAATAGCAGCCGTAGTTAAAAACATGGTATTTTTGTGTTAAAATTTTTAATTTTCGATTTTATATTTTCATGTTTAAACTGCTATAACTTTTAGAATAAAATTTGATTTGGTCATTTTTGAAAGAATAATATTTATATTCCTTTTTCATTCGAAATACTTTATCTTAATCAGGATATAAATAAGGAAATAAGAGATCTTGTATCTTTTGGATAATCCACCAATTTTTTTAAAATTAAACACTATCTACAGATTTGCATCGTGGCTTTTTTTATGATAGTGATTTTAATCACTGTCAGATATTATTATACTGACCCAACTATGCCATATCCACACTATGCCGTGGCCCCATTGTGCTGGGTTTTTTTCCTCACTTTAATCCCTACTTATATAAACTACTTGGTGTCAGCCGTTCAACCAATATTATAAATTATAAAATGTACTACCTAGTCGTAAGTTATACAATACTTTATCATAAAAACTGAACAAATCATACAAGCTAGAACAATTATTCAACTTAAGTTAAAGTTATGTTATTTTTAAGGTTTTTTACTTAAAATCATCATCAGTTCCTAAAATATTGTTGATCAATACTAAATTATTGTGAAATATTATTTATAAATTATAGTGATATTTTAAACAGTATTATGTTGTTATTATTGTAATTATTTCTATTAATTACAGTTCAATTTTTCCAAATCATCACTTTTTATTAATTCATTTCTAATAATTATTAGCTATTTCCGTTTTTAAGACCACGCGATATAAAAATAATTTCAATACATTTAGATTTAGTTAATATACGAATATAATATATTCGAATAATTTTTTAATATTATTTAAAAATAGACATTGATTTTTATGGAAATTGTTCCATTGACTGAAAAGTTTTGTTGAAAAATTCCTAAAACTAAATTAACCCAGTTATTTTATTATGTGCCTTCCACGCTTAGATACATTACAATAACCACTGAAAATATGTAAACAAAATTTTTTTTTGTATATTTCTCCAAGACACAATCTTAAACAAAATAGTACATAGTTATTTATTATCTTACAAATACAAATAATGAAATTCTATAGTTTAGATTATTCATATAAATGTTAATTTTAGCACTGATGACAAAGTTCTTTTCATTTTCAATAGTATTCTTTGAAATTATTACTTATCATAAATTGTATTTTTTATAAAATCTACATTTGTTGTGTTATAATAAATGAATTAAAATTTTTCAAATCAAATATATTTTTAACATGCATTTGATTAAATCCATATTAAAACTGCAAATGCAATTATAAAATGAATATAATAAAAATTGATCACTTGTGGCTAATTAATTAAGTAAAATTAAAACTATATTAAAAATATTATTAATATAGTTTTAATTTTACTTATAAAATGAAGTTTACCTTTTAGATTAGATTCAAATTAAAATAATAATTTATATTTTTTTAACATTAATTTATTTATTTTAACTTGAAGTTAAAATTTACTATTTCAATTTATAAAACTAAATATAAAAATTAAAAAAATATTTTATATTACTTGTATTATAAGATATAGTATACGTAGTAATATTATAATATTTTTTTTTTTTTTAATAAAAATATATATATTTTAAAATATATCATGTTTCATCCACTATATGCTGTTGGTTTAGATATTGTCAACTATGAAAGGGTTACAGCATGTTTTATTAAAGGTCCCATTTCACACTTCACCAATTGACTAGTCCGTTTTAGACAGTTTACTATAATGTATTGTTAGTATGCTTTGGGAATCAGTTTTTTATTATTTGTTAGTCACACATATTTTATACATATATAATAGAAGTATTTTGCTGTTGCGTGTAATTCATTAAGTGACCTACCACATAGTTTCACCATAGACGGCGTTCTGACTACTATGCCGCGCCGTCGATTCATCAATACACTGTCAAAAAATGTATAACAACAATAATAATAAGAAATCTCAAGAAACTAGGTTAATAAATGTTCCAACAACACATCTACATTATATGGAACAATTGTTCCCCATTAAAAGATCAGTTCACATACAGTTGATCTTGTTACTTCATCAACTATTTGGTTAAACTTTTCTCATATCACAGTAGTCGACGGATATGGAACTCGGCGAAAATTGGTATTCTTGGGAACAGCATCGACGTAGACTATTTTTTTTTTAAATAGTTAAAACTTTGATTGCAATGTAGTTTATAAAAATAAAATCAAAAAAATTATAGGTGTGGTCAGTAATTAGCGATATAAACTTTCTCAATCATAATACATATTAGAAAAAGAGATGAATAACACCTTATGGTCAAATTATTGCGTAATTATTGCTCTATATTAAATTATTAAAATTCACTTATATTTACATTGAGATAAATACTTTACTATTTTAATACTTATATCTTTTGAGTAAAAATTATTGTTATTTGTTATTTGAGTCATGTTATTTGAAACGAATTTCATAAATTATTTATAATGGCCTTTAATTTTTTTAACATGACTTTTTATTACGATGAGATTCTTCTCGTAAAGACATTGTATTAGTTATATCTATAGCGAATTAAATTTATTACCTTTGTAGGTAGCTAGTTGTTAGTTATTTCTGTAATGAAAAATGCAAAAACTTTTTTCTACAAAAAATCATTTTTTAAGAAGAGTATTAAAAAAAAAAAATCCATCATAAACTTAAATAGAGTTAAAAGTTTTATATCTATCATAATNAATCCATCATAAACTTAAATAGAGTTAAAAGTTTTATATCTATCATAATACATTAACTAGTATATCTATACGTTTCATTTTTAGTACAGTAAAATGTTGACTATAAATTCCACATATTACAGACAATCCTGAAATCGCAAAAATATTAGACAACATAATATGTTATATTATGGTCTCTCTGATTTTTTACAAGTTTATTAAATCAATAATGACCAATTCAATTTTATAATTTTATATTTATCTAGTGATAAATTTACTTATTTACTTAATTAGATATTGGGTTATTCAGATTTGGAAGATTATAGTTGATCAATCTACTAGTAAATAATTTTTCAAGGTTGAAGGGTTATTTTTTCGCATACGACCATAAATAAAAATAATAATATAATTAAAGTCTGTAATATAAGTTTGGAAGCAAAAGAAAACACTTAAAATTAATTTAATTTTGATAATTGATAGTAATTTGATTTTTAAAAGTATTTTTTTTTTAATATATTCTCTTAAAATTAATATCATACTTATATGTATCATTAATGATTTTTTATTTTAATTAAAATTAGTTTCTTTCCAAGTATCAAATTAAAAATAAAAATAATATTTAATAAAATATATTATTTCATTACATAGTATATTTTATAAATTTAATTATTAGTAATTTTTAATTTTTAAAACAAATATATAATCAAAAATAATAGTTTTATACATATGATGTACATAAATTTAAGGAACTAGTACTGTCTTTATACACGTGAGCTGTTGTACTTCCATAACAAAAAAAAATTATTAATTCAAATTTTATTAAAATTATGTGTGTTTTGTCATAATACAAACTTTATAAAATAATTTCTATTTGATGAAACAAAAAGTTTATAAAATTTACAAAAAAATATTTTATTTCACATTAATTTAAAAAAACATACAACATATTTTGGCTTATAAATTATTTAATACCTTTTATTTGCACACACTGTTTTTCCTTTACTTCTTATCATACCATTTATCATCAATATTTACAATATTTTAAGAGCTAGTAATTTTACCGGCATACTTGGTTACATTTTCATTTAAATTTTTTAATGTGTTATTAGTAATATTTATTATTAAGCTAATATGTATTCTAATGCATTACGCTCTTGCTCCTTTTCTTTAGTTAGAAGTGGCTCATATATATTTCAAACCAAACATAGTATAGTTGCTATTCTTAATAAAAGATCTTATGTAAGTATCTGTTAACAAAAACCTGTTAAGTTCTAGTATTAATTGTAAATCCTTAAAATTAGCAATCTAATAAGTCAGAACATACAAATATTAGTGTTATGAGTAAGACTGATGATTGGGAACAAGTTTATTCAGGAATGCTAGAATCTAGAATTCGTCAACTCAAAATTGTATCATTTATGACAAGTGGAGCAGGATTATTCGTTCAACCATTATTACTACAAAAGGCTGCTGAAGTAGGTAGTAGTTTAGCAGCAACAATTGGCGTATGTACAATTGCTGGATTCTTCACATTTGTAACACCAATACTTATCCATTTAGTTACACGTAAATATGTTACACGTGTTGACTACAATAACAAAAATGATCAATATTTGGCCACTACAATATCATTTTTTTTGAAACCTAAAAAGGCGAGTATTAAGATTATCTTATTATATGCATATATTCTTTACTATATTATTTATTTACTGTAAAATATTGTAGTGAACTCTATAAATAATTAAAGGATTCACTTGTACTATTTTCAGATAATTCCTCTTTATTAATGTATAATATTCTCCACAATATTTTTTTAATGTAAATATAATTAATAGAAATGGTTTATATATTTATAAACATTTATATGTATTTATACATTATGAACAATTAAGAAGAAAAATTTTTAGATTTTGTATAAGTATTTTTTTGGAAATTTAAAATGTGTATAGTGATGACATCACAATCTTTACTAGTACAATAATAATGGTAATAGTTTAACTACAAAATTATTTAGGCGCCCTTTTTATCTCATTTAGGAATGTATTGTGCTTCAACTAATAGGTATTATGGTTTGATTCCATTGTGCTAGGCTTTCCTAAGATTTTCTTATTCTCATTAATGGAAGCATAATTATTAAAAAAAGGTGTTAAATATAAACAGAATAATAATAAAAAATGAATAAATTGTCAAATTTAATTTGTAAGGCTAGAGGTGTGGAGATCAGCTCTTGAAGAAAAGGGTTTAAGAATAAGTAGGAGTACATATAGAACATATAGAGTATGAGTTTGATAAAGAAAAACACGAGGTAGATAAAATAAGGAGACCTATGATAATTGGCGAGGACGTGATTGGAGAGGTGGAAAGTTTTAAGTATCTAGGATCAGTTGTGCAAAAGAGCGGTGGTATTGACTAGGATGTAAAACACAGGTTAAAATGTAGATGGTGGAAGTGGAGAGAAGCGTCTGATATCTTATGCGATAAAAGAATTCCAATGGGGCTGAAACGTAAATTCTACAAGTCTGTAGTGAGATATGATGTATGGTTCAGAATATTGGGCGGTTGATAAGAAAGTAAGCAGTAAATGAGTGTAACAGAGATGAGAATACTTAGATGGATGAGTGGAGTATCTAGAGAAAATAGGATAAGAAATGAGTATATAAGAGGGACTATAGGTGTAGCGTCAATCTTGGATAAGATGAGAGAAAATAGATTTAGTTTGGTCATTTTATAAGAAGAGAAGAATTGGAATCTGTAAGAACAGTTATAGAAATGAATGATGAAGGAAGAAGAGGTAGAGAAAGACCAAAAAAGAGATGAAGAGATATTATTGAATGTGATATGAGGACAACTGATGTGAGCGTAGAGGATGTGGGAGATTTTGTCAAGTGAAAGTTTAGGATAAGACTCCAAGGAGTTGGGATTAAGGCGAGGAAAAAGAAGAAGAAGTAGGTATTGTATCATATGTTAATGAAAGAGAAATAAAACCAATTAATATTTTAGGCTTTTCATGAATCATTCATATGTTATTTTATCATCTGTATTTAAAATCCTGTAAAATGGTATATATGTATACTTTTTGAATGATAAAAGAAAGTAATATTTCAAAATTTTTTACCATCTCATTTTGAAATTTTTTACTTTTAATGAACTATAAGTTTTAATTTTCTTATAATAATAACTTTTTTTAAATAAAATGTACATAGAATCCATATTTAAAAAAATTGTTTTGTTTAATTATTGAAATTATTATTTTCTTTAGGTTTTATTTAAAACTCATGAAGTAAGACTACCAATGAGTCAAAAACTCACCATAACATTTTACATTAGAAATATTCCATTATTCATTGACCCTCAAGCATTTACTGACATGATGCATTATCAACGTATACTTGGTTATGATAAGCCTTATCAGTTGGACACAGAGTTTACAAATGTAGTAAACAAACCTGTAATTAAGGCTGCAAATAAAAGTTATAAAAAACCACAAGAAAAAGATATCATTGATGACAAAGCTGCTAAAATTTTAGGAATAGAAAAGAAAATTAAAAAACCAGTTGTTAAAGTTGCTAATAAACCAATTGTATAATGAATAATAGTTTTCATTCTTTATGATTTAGATTTGTAAATATAATATGTTAATGTAAAACTTGTTTTATTATTAAAAAATATTTTAATATATAATTCTTTATAAATAAGTTTTGTTTAAAAAAATGTTGTTTTAAAAAAATTAAGAAAACAGATAATTTTGGTTAACTGTTTAGAACAAATGAACTTTAAATGAACAATGAAAAATTTTATTCCTGCAAATAAATATTGAGACAATAATCATTAAACATTTGTTAATTTATATTATTTATGCAAAAGTCTCAATTTGTATACTCGTTATTAAAATCTTTTAATATCCTCTAAAATCAAATAAGCATACAGTATTTTATTAAAAATTGTTTAAATTAAATTGTGTTGCTTTTGTTTGTCTATTTATTTTAATCATTAATAAATACAATAAATAACAATAATAATAAGAATTTTCAACTGTACAATATTATTTTCCAAAATAAATTTTCGGAAATTATCTGTGCTTAAAGTTATTCTTCGTATAAAATATATTAAATTATATATTGATTGTTCATTATTTTATAGAATGAATATTTTCTTATGTGTTTCTATTATTATAAAATACAAAATTGTCTGTACGTATTATAAAAAAATAAGTAGGTAACTGAAATTACTTTATTACAATATCACAATGGTCAAGTGTGCAAAAAAAAAAAAATCATAATGTATTACTAAAAATACATTTTTTATTTTGTAACTATATCATTTATCATTGTTAAAAGTAATGTTATTCAACTACTGTACTGACATAACATTATCTGAGGTAACAAATTCACTTCTATTTTTCACCCCTAGGACTTATCAGAATACAATGGAAAAATAATTATATTAATTACAGTTGGCACAATATGATATCTACTTGAATACTTAGTAAATTTAGTAAACTATTTTTTTAGATGCACTTTTAAAAAATATCCAAATTCATATACATGCGTTGGAAGTTTTTAATGCATACAGTCTAAGGGAAAATTTAGATAAATATGTTGTATTACATTAGAGATAATAAAAGGGCTTAGCCTCTCCAATAATTTCATATTACCACTAAATTTTTTTAACTTTCTTAAATTTTGTTTAACTAACAAAGTATGTTTATTGATTATTTAAATATTTTTGGCTTCGATCCGAAGCAGAGAAGGTATTAATTTTACTATATGTTTTTTTATTTTTTTTTTTTATGTCTGTTACCACTTTTTCTCAACTCTAACCTAACCGATTTCTTTCAACANTCTTTCTCAACTCTAACCTAATCGATTTCTTTCAACAATACGTCAAAATATCACAAATCGAATCTAGTCGAAGACATTAAACTCGAAAATAGGAAAAATTTCCCTCGTTCCCCATAAATAGGGGAAATCTCAAAAAAAAATTACAAATTCAAAAATAACTAATTTTTGACATTTTTTAAATTAAAACTGCCATAACTTTCTTAAAAATGAACAAATCAATGTAATATTTTTTTATAGATGCTTGATGTTTTTACCTATCATTTGGTGTATTTTTTTTTATAAATCTGACTCTTTACTCGCTCTCAGATGGGATTTTAAATGACAAATTTTTTACAAAAAATTTATTTTTTTCAACTTAACTTTTGAAAGTGTTCCGGAAATACTGACACTTTTATATATATCTTAAATTAAAGTTAATGTACTTTGTACATTATTATGGAAAAACAAATTTGTTTTTCCATGTAAAAAATTTATCAAGGCAGAATTGTGGTGACNTTTTTCTCAACTCTAACCTAACCGATTTCTTTCAACAATACGTCAAAATATCACAAATCGAATCTAGTCGAAGACATTAAACTCGAAAATAGGAAAATTTCCCTCGTTCCCCATAAATAGGGGAAATCTCAAAAAAAAATTACAAATTCAAAAATAACTAATTTTTGACATTTTTTAAATTAAAACTGCCATAACTTTCTTAAAAATGAACAAATCAATGTAATATTTTTTTATAGATGCTTGATGTTTTTACCTATCATTTGGTGTATTTTTTTTTATAAATCTGACTCTTTACTCGCTCTCAGATGGGATTTTAAATGACAAATTTTTTACAAAAAATTTATTTTTTTCAACTTAACTTTTGAAAGTGTTCCGGAAATACTGACACTTTTATATATATCTTAAATTAAAGTTAATGTACTTTGTACATTATTATGGAAAAACAAATTTGTTTTTCCATGTAAAAAATTTATCAAGGCAGAATTGTGGTGACCCAATGTGTCCCGGTGCTAAAATAAAGCACCTTGAAAGGATATTTTTCTATATATTTTTACTATTTTAGAAATTGACAAATAATTTGAAATTTGAAATTTTGGTACTGTTGTATCTTAAAAGAAACAACCCTAGTGTCTTAAATTAAAGTAATAAAAGTTTAATAATAACTCAAATGTATTTATTATAGATATAATTAAACAATGCAAAACATACAAAATAAATATACACTAAAAACACAATAAAACAATACACAAAATGAAAACAAAAAAAATGTCATAAACGTACCACGCGAAAAGAGATTACCTTCGGTGCTCCTGAGATCCTCTCTCCTCTACAATTCATTCCATTTCGTCTTATACAGGGTGATTTTTTTATCATAACCCACTCATTTACTTGTAGAATAAATATAATTTAAATATTATTTTTGGTTTTCTTTAGTTACACATTATTCTTAAATTATTAACTATTTAAAACTTTTTATGTTCATCCCTTATGCCTTGTAAGGGTGTCAACTTTGTCTTTTTGTCTTTTAAATGGGAACACATATTTTGAATATAATAAAATGTTTGGATTTTTAATTAAATAGTAAATGGCATTTGAATTTTTAATATAACTTTATTAGTTTATTAGATATAAACATTTAAAGTTTCAAATTTTTGAGTTAATATACATGTATAATACACATGATGATATGATTACAAATACAGGTAGCTAAATGGTTTATATGATATCAATGTCGCAGTTACGGATTGTTTATTATCAATTATGACTATCATAGATATACTTTCAGTATTGTCAGTTAGTGTATTTATAAACTCACAACAACGTGCCTTACTACCATTGATAATAACAATGCTGTGTACCTGCTAATTTCTTTGAAGTTGTTTTAAACAAAGTAACTCATAACTAAATACTTTATTTATAATAAGTAAACAAATAATAAAATCTCCTTTCAGTATTGATGTTCGTAAATTACTTGCTTTTGATGATGTTTCAGTGTCATTCCACTTCGAAATTATAAATAACGATTCAATTAGGTACACAAAAAGCTCAAGAAAATCATTGACAGCATAAAAACGTTCAACTCATTTAGTCGCACATAATTGTTTTAATGATTTTTTAGTTATACATTTTTGACTTTCTTCGATTTGACTTTTCAACACATCTTTTCGCTTTGGGTATATGAAAAAATCTCTAACTTTAATGTTGTTCCTAATCAATTTCGTGTATCTTGTATAGAAGATGAATAAGAAATAGCAAGGTTTAAAACATGAACAGCACAATGAACAAACGTCGCAAGCGGATAACTTTGGTGAATAAGAGATTGAGCTCCGTTAAATTGACCAGACATAGAAGCACATCCATCGTAACACTGTCCTCTAACGTATTTTGTTTCTACACCAAATGAATGTAAATTTTGAATAATAGTATATAAACCTTTTCCAGTAGTATCTGTTGTAGGCACAAACTGAAGAATTCTTCCTTGATAATCATATTTTCAACATCTAAATATCGAACACACAAAGTTACTTGTTCGCTTCCACCAATGTCGGCCGTTTCATCAGCAAGTATTTTGAAACATCTTTGGGCATTTATGTTTNGTAAGTATTTTGAAACATCTTTGGGCATTTATGTTTGTTACGATTTAATTTAAAATAATTTCATTACAGGATTCAATTATTTCATTTTGAAGTGTTTCACTTGTATATTTTATTGTTTCTTCAGCTTCCAAAAATGATTTTAAACGGTCATCTCCTTGGGCTATGTATCTTAATATTTTTCTATTTATATGCATAAATATTCTGTTAACCGATATCAAATTTATTCCACTTGAACTATCATAAAAAAATCTCTATCATTTGTAAACTAATGTAATAAATAAACAAACAAATACAAAAGGTTTTTCTTCAAAATATCTTTAAAATATATATTTTGATAATTCTCTGTAATAAATTCTTAAAATATTGTATTCTTTGACCAATAATACAATTAAAATAAATAAGTATTGTTTATACTAAATTTATTTATAATTGGCTTATACATTTTTTTAATGAATTTTTACAATTAAGTTTCCTTGACAATTAGATGTAAATGTTGATTTTATCGACATTTCAGTTCACTTCGTTTTTTCCCGTGAAAAATAAACTATCGTCTTGTGTAATTATTAAGATTTATTTAATTAGTTATTGATATGGCAAGTGAAAAAAATATTTTTGGTCAAACAAATGAATCAAACTTACATAAGGTCATACGCAGAGTTGAAGAAATATGGAATCGTCGTTTCATGCATTCCAATTGTGTTTTAAATAATACAAATAAAGGACAAATATCAAAAAAGTCAACTAAAGATGGAAGAATTATCTGTAAACACTATTAAGATTAATAATTAAACTAACTATTTCGAATAGAGAAAAAGTTTTTTAATATAAAATATAAGAAAAATTAATAATAAGTTCTCTTATTCATATATAACAATAATTCAGTCGCTTTACTTTAATTTAACTATTTTAATATTAAAAACCTTTTTCGAAATTGATTATTTAATTAATAATTATTAAAATTATATTCAATTTGCAGCAATTATTAATAAAAATATTTATCCTATAAAAAATTCCATTATTCCAAAAAAACGCACGTATCGAAAAACGAATAAAAATGATAAAATTATTCCAGAAAAATTGGTAACTATAATTATATTAATATATTTATTCGATTTAGCTATGTTATTGGGGTTTGTCTGATTCAAAAATATAAAATAAACTATCAACCCCCTTAATATAAATGCGGTAACATAATGTTTAATATTATTCTGCTA